ATGAAGGCATGCCTCATCAAAAACCTTGCCCCTCCCCAAAATGTAGAAAAGCAGAAATACCATACATATTTACTGATCACAATGTAAAAGTGGCTGGCACATGGGGCAGCTAGGTGGTGCAGTGGATAGAGCTCTGGCCCTGGAGTCAAAAGGACCTGAGTTCAAATTCAGCCTCAGACACTTGACACTTACTACCTGTGTGACTGGGCAAGTCATTTAACCCCAACTGCCTCACCAAAAAGCAAAAAAAAAAAAATGGTTGGCACATAATAGGTGCTTAATAAATGTTCATTAGTTGACAAATATTCAATAACAGACTCTTAAAGAATTTACAAGTAATAGCAGACAATTTAAAAATCTGATGAGTTAAAAGAACAAATTATAGAAACAACAGAAAATTTCATTAAAAAAACTAAGCTTATCAAAACTTATGAGATGCAGCTGAAGCAGTTCTGAAAGTTAAATAATTTCATCAACAATCTGAATATGTAGTTTTTAAAATGTTACTAGCAACAAATTGAAAGCCCCCAACTAAGTAATAAAGAAATTCTGAAAATTAAAGATTAACAAAAATTGAAAGCAAAAAGACTATTGAGCTAATAAAACTAGGAACTTTTTTCAAAAGAAAACTAATAAAGTTAGTTAAACTGGTTTAAGAAAAGGGTGGAAAACCAAATTGGTCATATCAATATGATAAAGGAGAACTCAAAACAATTTTGAAAGTGAAATTATCAGAAAATATTGTACCCAATTATATGCTAAGCAAAATGGAAACTTAAAAAAATAGGTGTGGAAAATGCTATACACATCCAAAGAAAGAACTATGAAGTTCAAATGCAGATCGAAGCATACTATTTGCTATTTTTTTTGTTCTGTTTGTTTTGTTTCCCCTTTCTTGTGGTTCCTCCTATTGGTTCTAATTCTTCCTTACAACATAACTAATGTGAAAATATGTTTAATAGGAATGTATATGTAAAGCCTATATCATATTGTGTGCTGTCTTAGGGAGGAAGAGGGGGAAGGACAGGGAGAAGAATTTAAAACTCAAAAGCTTATGAAAGTGATTGTTGACAAATCAAATTAACAAAAAAAAATTTTTTTTACATAGATGAATACTTACAAAAATATAAAATACCAGGATTAACAAAAGAAGAACAATTGTTTAAATAACCCAGTATCAGAAAAAGAAATCAAACAATCCAAAAATGAGCTCTTAAAAAAAAACTCAAGACTTCAAGTGAATTCTGTCAACATTCAAAGAACAATTCCCATTAATGAAGTAATATTTGTAAAAGGTGCTTAGCACAATGCCTGGCACATAGGCACTTAATAAATGCTTCATTCCTCCCCAACACTACATAAACTATTTACAGCATCATCAGCATGAAGATGGTAATTAAATCTATGACAGCTGATGAGACCACCAAGTGAAGTACTGTAGAAAGAGAAGAAAAGGGGGCCCAGGACAGAGCCCTGAGGAACACCTATGATCAGAGAGCCATATCTGGAGGAGGATCCAGCAAAGGAGATAAAGAAGGAGCAAACAGGAGAACCAGGAGATAGTGGATGTCCCAAAAACCTAGAAAGAAGACAGTCTCAAGGACAGAGTGATCAACAGTGTCAAAGGCTGCAGAGAAGTCTGAGAATGAGGATGGAGGAAAGGCCGTTGGAGTTGGCCATGAGGAGATCATTAGTTACTTTGGAGATGGCAGTTTCAGTGGAATGATAAGGTCAGAAGCCAAATTGTAAGGGGTTAAGAAAAGAGCAAAAGGGGAGAAAAATGGAGGCACCTGTTGTAGGTCTTTTCAAGAAGTTCAGCTACCAAGGGCAGCAAGAGCATAGCACGAGAGCAGGGGTGGAAGGAGGTAAGTGAGGATTTTTTATGATGCCGGAGGCACAGACATGTTTGTAAAGAGTAGGAGGTGAGCCGGTAGCGTGGGAGAGATTGAAGATTAGTGAGGGAGTAGGGATGACAGAGAGAACAACTGATCGGAGGAGATGAAACGGAATAGGATCGCTTGAACCAGTAGAGGGGCTAGCCTTGGTCAGGAGTAAGGCCACTTCCTCATGTGATGCAGGGGTAAAGAAGTAGAGAGTAAGGATCAGGAAAGGGATTTTTGAGAATGTGGGAGCCTGGGCATGTTTTTAGGCAGTAAGGAATTATTACTGCCTCCATTTTATAAATGAGCAAACAGAGGTTAAGTGACTTGCCCAGGGTCACACAGTTGCTCAATGCCTGAAGCCACATGTGAACTTGGGTCTTCCTGACTACAGGCCCAGCACTCTATTCTACTACCTAGTTGCCTTGAATGTTTCAGCAGACAATGAACAAGTGAAGATAAGTGAGAGAGAAGCGGAGATAAAGGATGAGATCTACTGGAGAAGACAGGATAGAATAGAATCACGTGCATGGGAAAGGGTTAAACTTGACAAGGAGAAGGATCACCTGGATGAGAGACAGGTGAAGGTGGAGAGAGTTGCAGAAGGAGCTGGGAACTGTGACTTGAGCACAGGAAACATGGTGGATGCCTTAATTGTTTCAGTGAAACAAGGCAACATTCTTATTGGATACAGTGGTGGGAGATGGAGCCTCAAGAGGCATGAGGAGGGTTGAAAAGCTTGGGGAGAAGCAGTGTGGTGAGTGGGATAGTGAGTCAGCTGGGCAGGTGTGAAAGGGCGGTCTTGCCACAGCAACGGCACAGTTCAGATTCTGTAACAGATCTGTAGCGAATCCACTCGGCGTGGTTTCAGGATTTTCTCCACCTCCATTTGGCAGGATGAGTAGGAGAAGGAAGACTGTACAGTGGGAGTGATCCAAGGCTGAGATTTGGCAGGGCAGGATCGGCAGTGGATAGAGGGCAAGGGATTCAAGAGAAGAGGGTAGTGTAGAATTGAACTGATTCACCACAGGGTCAAGATGGAGGAGAGTGTAGCTGGCGAAAGAGTGATACTCTGGGAAAGGACGGCGGCAGAGGGATGGAGGTCATGATGAGAATGAAGAAGGGTGTTAGGGTTTGCAAAGCAGAGGGAAAGGTGGAACAGTAACACATCGTGATCAGATAAGGGATTTCAGAGCTCATGAATATGGAAGTGGCATAGTTGTGGGTGAACCATCTCTATGCAGCTGATATAGGGTGGAGGAATAGGTCATGGAAAATGTTTATGGTGAGGAACTGGGAGAGAAGGGTGTTTGAGAGAATCTTACTATGTATGTTGAAGTCCCATAATATAACAGGCATCAAGGAGCGAAGGAGAGGGAGGTAGACTGTGTTTCTGTCCTCCTGAGCTGCCTGGGCTGGAAAAAGTTACTCACTGTGATTGTTGATTTTCCTGCTCAGAATTCAGCATGATGCTTTTTAGAGTTGTATAGAGGGGTATATTGGGAAAGCTAGACAAAAATGCTCAATTCACTTTGCCACTGAGGCGCCTGGGGTTTGAAATAAAGTAGCAAACAATCCCTGCCTTTAAGGAGCTTACAAGCCTATAGTGGAGACCGCCATACAAAAAACAAGGTCTTGTCTTATTGCTATAGTGAGCACTTCTCCATTACACTTAATGTTTACTCTGGATTTTAGATAGATATTGCTTATATGTAGGAAAATCTACTTTAAATAGAAATGAGTGTTAATATTTTTTTAAAGTCTTTTAAAGCATTTATTGATATATTTGTAACAAAGCAGGGCAGATACTAATAAATAGAGTTTTGTCAAGATAACTTGCTGGTCATATCAAACACTATTTTTTTTCTTTTCTTTAGTTATTTATTTATTTTTAGTTTTCAATATTCACTTCCACAAGATTTTGGGTTCCAAATTTTCTCCCCATCTCGTCCCTCCCCCACTCCAAGATGGCGTGCATCGTGAACACCCCTTCCCTTAATCTGCCCTCCCTTCTATCTCCCCCACCCCCTTCTCTTTCCCCTTCCTCTTCTATTTTCCTTTAGGGCAGGACAGATTTGTCCATTTCTTAGTAGACTCGGAGAAGATAATAAAACCTGATTTTAAGATGTCCCTGTGTTCATTGGTGGCCGCGGCTATCAGTGAATCCTTGGACAGCTCTATCCCGGGCAGTTTTAAAGACGCACCGTCGATGGAAAGAGGCCTCTGCCAGCCATACGTCTAGGGCAGTGCAGGGCGTCTTCTCCCAGCAGCATTGGCACCTCCATGGCAGGTGATCTGGGCACTGCCAGATCCCTGTTGCCTAATCAGATCTTCATTATTTTGGTTATTAAGGTGGTCCATTCTGCCCGTTGGTGATCTTCTATCTTATTCCCCCCAATGCAGATTCCACTTAATACGGGGTCGTAGTCTCCTTGCGGGCATTTGGGCCACTATGTTTGCCTTCTTTTCTCCTTTGCCCTTCCTCGGCTGCTTGTCCAGACCTAGTTTCTATCACAGAAGGGAGCTGCAAGAACCCCTTCTTTCCCGACGCCTGCGAACCGCTCATGGAACATCTGAAGCTGGACGGTTCCTGGAAGATTTAGTAGAATTCCCTCGACCATCCGTCCCGTCGTGGGGCGGCCAAGGGCCGGCGATTAGGACCGGGCAGTGCGGGCGGGGTGGCCCTCAAGCTCCAAGGTCTCCCCTTCCCCTGGGGCCACGTGCTCTCGCTCCGGGATCCAGGTCAGGAGCCACCGCCGGCGGGCAGGGCAGAGGGCCGACGCCGAGCATGCGCAGACCTCTCGCTCGCCTGGCGAACTACGTTTCCCAGCGGGCTCTGCGACCCCAAGCGAAGGGAAGCTCCGCGCAGTGGCCATGGAGACGGGACCGGCCTGTAACGTGAAGGGGCGCGCGCGACGTCTCTCGGTGATTGGTGGGGAGAGGGAGGCGGGGCTGGAAGGGGTGGGTTCTGGCGTCCCTTCTGCATTGTCCGGGCGGCCCTGGCGCTGTCACGGCTGAGCGGTCCTCCACCCTGGCCTCACCCTGAGCCCGGCCCCTACCTGACCGTAGGGCTGAAGGCAGTCGGCCGCGGCCTCCCACCGCCGCGAACATGGACGAGGAGCGCTGACCGGGGCCGCCCCGGGACCAGGACCCTCCCAGCTCAGCCCACCGGGCTGCGGGACCGGAGTTCGAATCCTACCTCGGTGGCAGGCCCCGGCCATGGACGTCGGGCGCCGCCGGCAGGTGAGGGAGGGGCCTGGCTTGTCCGTTTGAGCCCCATGTGCCCCCGCCCCCAGCAGGCGGTCCGGGGGAGGGGCGGGGTCGCGTGTTCGCTCCTGGAGGTCCCCGCGTCCACCGCGGTCCAAGCCTCCCACAGTGAAGCCGCGGTCGCACCGGACACTTCCGCTGACGCAGACGAAAGGGTCCCTTCCTTAAGGGAGGCTGTGTTTGCCCATTGAAGTCGTGACGGCAGCGTCTGCCTTCCTGGTTGGGCCGATCCGTGATGAACTCTCTTGTAGCGCTTCCCTTCGAATTTGTGTGAAGCGCTGCTTCCCATAGGTTTCTTAAGACCAAATCGTTGGGTTCTGTTTTCATAGTCGTTTCTCCTATTTGCTCCCTTTACTGGTAAGCTCAGCCCATTAACAAGCGTTGTCGTTTTAAAAGAGCTTAACGTCCTGGTGGCTAGAAGTCAAACGTTCCTTTTTCTCCTCCGTCACCCTTTTCTTAATGGGAATTTCCTCTCGGTTACTAGCTTTGGTTGAAGGTGTGTAGTGATGTTAACTGATACATTTCTTTTGATATGTCATTCACTTATACATGGTACTCTCTCATGCCCCCCAAAAAAGTCTCCATTTTTATAAGTTAAGTGGTACTGCTGAACACGTTGATTACAACTTAGTACATACAGTTTTACGTTTTTATAGTTTACTGCTTAACTGGAAGAATGCTTTGTTTTGTTTTTAACTTTGTAAAACCAGTGAGTTTGACCTGAGTTTTCTTGCCTTTTGGGGTTGACTTTATTTCCGTTGTTTTCGTTGTGTGTATCATTCAATTCATGAACACACATTTATTTAGTACCTGCTTTTGTCAGGCGCTAAGCTATAAGAATAAAGACAACACTGAACCAGTCTGTCGAGCTGAGGAATGATAGCAGGTGCATATAATACAGGGAGAGACAAACTAGTTGCAAGGCCATTGGGGAGGAGGGGTTTTTGACCCTATCCTTAAAGGAAAGGAGGGATTCTGATGGTTGAGGGTAAGGAGAGTATATGTTCCAGTCATGTGGACATCCACAGTGGAGGCAGGAGGTAGTGTCGTGTATGGGGAACAGTAAGAAGGGCAGTTTGGCCGAACTGTATTGTGCGTGATGGAGAGGAACGTGTAACAAAGTTGGAGAGGGGGGTTAGGGCCCAGTTGTATAGGGCTTTAAATGCCAAAGAGAAGAGTTTGCAATTCATCTTTCTAATAATAAGAGACCCACTGAAGTTTGTCAAATTAGGAGACATAGACCTATGCTTTCAGAAAATCACTTTGGCAGTAGTGGGGAGGAGGGATTGCGCTTGTGGGGGTCTGGAGGCAGGGAAACCAATGAAAATGTTGTTGCAGTCATCCAGGCAAGAGCCAATAATTGCCTGAGCTAGGCTGGTGGCTCTGTGAGTGGAGAGAAGGGGGACAAATGTGAAGGATGCTGTGGAAGGATGATGTTTGGCAGCTGATTGGCCATGGGGGGATGAATGAGAAGTTCAGAATGCACTCTGAGGTTGAGAACCTCGATGACTGGTGTCCTCAACAGAGATTAGGGAGAATGGGAAGAGGGCTGGGTTTGGAGAAAAAGATAACTGAGTTCTGCTCCAGTTGTGTTAAATTTTAGATACCTATGTGACATCCACTTTGAAATGTTTAATGAGTGTTTGGTAATGTGGAACTGGGGCTCAGGAGAGAGGCTAGGGCTAGATTTACAGTTCTGTCAGCATAGAGATGGTTATTAAACCCAGGATTGATTGAGGTCACAGAGATGGTATAGAATGAAAAGAGAAAAGGGTCTAGGGTAGAGCTTTAGGGTATGCCCAGAGTGGGGGGTGGGGTGGTGGTTGGTTTTGACGAGGCATTGAAGAAGTAGTGAGAAGGAGAATCAGAAAAGAACAGTGCCACAAAAACCCTGAGAGTTTGGTGAGTAGTGTTCAGTGCTACAGAGTGAAGAATACCAGTTGAGAAAAGGCCGTTATTAGATTTGGCAATTAAGATAGAGATCATTGGTGACTTTGGAGAGTGGTTTCAGTTGAGTAACATCAGAAGCCAGATTGCAGTGGTTCAGAGGTGAGAAAGAAGAGAGGAAGCCGAGAAGTGGAAACAGCTTTGTCCAGGGATTCTCGATAAACCCATACGAGTCTTCTCATGTATTTCTGAATTCTTCAAGTTTGTGGTTCTTTATATTACAGGAATATTTCTGTTCCACCATTCTTGGAGTACTGTTACTGCTCAGCCGTTCCTAAAGGCAGCATGGCGATGTCACAGATAGAGGGCAGGACTTAGAGTCAGAAGACCCAAGTTAAAATCCTGCCTCAGACACTTACTTGCTACAATTAATGTTTTATTGTTCTTTTTAATTCTTACTTGTTGAATGTATAATTTGTTTCCAGCTTTTTACCCTTATTTAAGGCTGTGATGACAATTTGGGTACATGTGGACTTTTCTACCATTAGACCTCTTGGGGTCTACATACATTCCATAGAGGGATCACTGAATGAAAGGGTATGAACAGTTTAATAAAATTACTTTTAGGGGGGGAAATACTTTATTCGATTTTTTGATAACTTTTTGTTTTGATACCTTCTTTATTTTTAAAAGCAAATTAAGCAAAAGCATTTAATTTAGCAGTTGTGATTGACGGCAGCTATAATTTTCCATTCGTCTCTCATTCCTTAACAAAAAGAAAAAAAGTTTGGTCTAAATTCAGTTATCTGGACCCTGCATTTTTGTTGTTGTTCTGCCAAGTCCAACTCTTTGTGACCTCATTTTTCTTGGCAGAGATACTGGAGTCATTTGCCATTTCCTTTTCCAGCTCATTTTACAAATGAGGAAATTGAGGCAAACATAGTTAAGTGACTTGCCCCAAGGTCACACAGCTAGTAAGTGTCTTGAGGCCAGATGTGAACTTAGGAAGAGGAGTCTTCCTGATTCCAGATTCCAAACTCTATCCACACAGTCACTTAGCTGCTCCCATGATCCCCATACTAACTTGTATATTTGCCCTGAAACCAATTGTCTCTTAGAAATGTATTCATTTATGCCGTTGTGGACATAATATATTTCATTCTTTTGCTTCTTATATCACTTCATGTGATTTTTCCCCCCTGGTTCTCTGAAATTTTTCCTATTTGTCTTTCTTATAGCACAGATTTTAGTGTTCATATTCTATATTTCTTTAGCCATTACCAGTCATTGGACAGTGTTTTCAGCTTTTTGCTGTTGTAGGGTTTGCCTCGATATTTTGGTCCATCTGGAGCTTTCCTAGATAGCCTCACAGGTCAACCCAAGTGGAATCACTGGATCAGAGGGTGTGGTCAGCCCAATAACTTTTATTGCTAAATGTTAAATTGTTCCTCAATGGGTGGATCCATACACAGCTCCACCAACCATGTGTTGCTGCAAAAGTCTTTTCAGGTTCACATCATTGAAATAATCTATTTGATCTTTTGTGATCACCCCTCCCCCTGGTTTCTTTAAGAATTCTCTCCCTACCCATCGTTATTAAAGGTGCTTCTGTCTACCTTCTGCCAATATGTAATGAGCTGACCTTAAAGATTTCCATGGTTTGGAACTTATTTCGACACGTGGTACGAGATGCGGGCATAACTGACTTTTTGCCAAACTGTTTTCCAGTTTTCCCATCAGTTAATTTCTTCCCATTTATTTAATTCTTCCTCTTTCTCTCTCTTTCCCCCTCTCCCTCTCCCTCTCCCTCTCCCTCTCCCTCTCCCTCTCCCTCTCCCTCTCCCTCTCCCTCTCCCTCTTCTCTCTCTCTCTCTCTCTCTCTCTCTCTCTCTCTCTCTCTCTCTCTCTCTCTCTCTCTCTCTCTCTCTCTCCCCCCCCCCCTGTCTCTCTCCCTGTCTTCTTTACAGGTAATCAGGATTAAGTGACTTGCTCCAGGTCACACAGCTAGTAAGTGTTACGTGTCAGAGGTCAGATTTGAACTCAGATCATCCTGAGTCCAGGGCCAGTGCTCTATCCAGTGTGCCACCTAGATGCTCTACTTTGTTTCTTTAAAGGGTGTTTTTTAATTATATTTATATAAGTCCTGTCTGTGTCTTGATATATTGCCTCTAAGATATTTCTTGTATTTTGTAATTATTTGAATTGGGATTTCTATTTCCTCCTGATTTTTGTTACTGCTATATAGAAACACTGATGATTTTTGTGTATTTAATCTATATCCTGCTACTTTACTGTTACCTTGAATAATGTTTTTGTTTATTCTCTGGTAAATCATATTTACACACAGATCATTTTGTTTCCTCTTGGCCTGTACTTATACTGTACATTTAATTTTATAGTTTTATGGCTATAACTGTTTTTTCTAGCGTTTAAAACAGAAGCATACCCAGTCGGCATTTCTGCTTTACCCAGATCTTGGTGGAAGAGCTTTTTATTAGAAGTCCAGCCCTGAAAGCTGTTCTGAGCTGTTATTGAAGTCTCTTTTATCTGTTACAAAGAGGGCTAGATTTTACATCAAAGTGGATATTGTTATATTAAAGAAAAGTCGTTCCTATGCTTTTTAGTGTTTAACATAAATGAGCCATTTTCTACATCTTGACATGTGTGTGACTTTTTAAATTATCTTTGTTATTAATATCTTTATGGTCCCTTCTACCTCTAGATCTACAATCCTATTAATAGGATTTAGAATGCTTGTTGTTTTCATTATGTTGAACCAACCATGCATACCTGATAGAATTATGGGTTAGTGATAGTGAATAATTCCACACAATTTTTATAGCCTCATTTCTAATATTTTATTTAATAATTTTGTATCAAAATTAGTTATTTTGTCTCTCATTTCCTAGCTCAGCTTTATTTTTGTTTGTTTTGCTTATCAGGGCCATTTTATTTTATTTATTTTTTTTTTTTGGTGAGGCAGTTGGGGTTAAGTGACTTGCTCAGAGTCACACAGCTCATGAGTGTTATGTGTCTGAGGCCGGATTTAAACGCAGGGCCTCCTGACTCCAGGGCCAGTGCTCTATCCA